GTCCTGGATATGGCAGCTTGCTTTCTCTCTTTCCCAATCTCTCTCTCTCTGTGTGTGTGTGTGTGTGTGTGTGTGTGTGTTTCTCTCTGGTGACTACATATGCCCTGTAGCAAATTTTAAAATAATAATAATGGTAAATAAGACTAAATGACTCTTTTTAAAAATTTTTTTAATTTTAAAAAAAGAGTAAGGTAGATCTATATTGAAAGCTATCCAGAGGTGAAATTCAAAGAAGAGCTCTAAGGCCCACACGGCCTAACTTCCTAGAAATCCCCTTTGTCCATTTATTCTCAAGGCAACATATGTGCGAACCCATCCCCTTTCTTTCTCTTTATAACTGCAGCTTCAGGGGTGAAATGGTTAAGGCATTGGATTCCCACATGGCCGACCACAGTTCAGGTCCCAGACCTGGTGGCTTAAAATTTATGCCGAGTTTATGTGAGTGTGTGCCTAAAATCCTAAGAGGAGAATGGAGGAGAAGGGATTGTAGTGTGAACATTCCCCTGGGGGATGATTTCTCTCTCTCTCTCTCTCTGTCTCTCTGGCAAGCACACAAACCTTATGGCAAAAATCTCTCTAAAGAAAATAAAAAGAAAACACTGCAGCTTCATCATCCCTATTCCTTTTTTTTTTTTTTTTTTTTTTTTTTTGGGAGGTGTTTCGCTATAGGATGTGTGCGCTCGCCAGACAGATAGAGAGAGACAGCGAGAAATCACTCCCCAGGGGGGATGGTCACGCCGCAATCCCTTCTCCTCCATTCTCCTCTCGGGATCTTGGGCACGCACACACACGCGCCCAGCGTGAGTTTTAAGCCACCGGGTCCAGGACATGAGCCGCCGCAGTCGACTACATGGAGTCTAGCGACATAGCCATTACGCTAACTGCTGGTCCCTCTATTCCTTTTTTATTACCTTCTTTACTCTTGGATCTTTTCCTTTGTTTTTAGAGTTCTTTTTTTCCATATGCCTATCAGTACAATTTTGCTCCAAAGGATAGTTTAGAAGTATTCTGTGTACATTAGGCTCTTTAGTGTTTAATTGACTATATTAGACAAGGAAGGAATTAAAAGAAAGAACATAAGCTTGGATTCAGTACTAGCCCACTGACTAGTTGAATGTGCTCTGGGGGAGGTTGTTCAATTTCACTGAGCCTCAGCTTCCTTTATCTTTGAAAATGAGATGTGACTCATATCGTTAGCCATTGTGGGGACTGAATAAAATACAGGATCCCAGCACTTAGTGTAATGGCTGAAATTGTTCCAACTCCAGACCATGCATGAAAAGCCAAGCATGTTGTAAACAGTCAATGAATGGCGTCCTCTTAAAGCCAAGTCCTTAGTGACCACTCTGGCAAAAGATTGTGAAGCATTAGCCTTGCTAAGTACTTCTACTTTGTATTATTCACAGCCCAGGGCTCAAGGAAGGGATATCTGAGGATGAAATGGACACTCTTGTCTAGTTCCTCGTGAATTTGTGTTCACAGAATAGTTTGTGGATTGGTTTGAAATGGAGAAGAGATTAATTCATTTATTATGGTTCTACTGTAAGTTAGGGACTAAGTGGAGTACTTTACGTATGCACTTGCATTTAACCCACCCAGTAACACAGTGAAGTAGGTGTTTATTATAATACATCATTTATTTTCTTTTTGCTTTTAATTTGCTGTATGGTGCATGGGCTTATTGAAGACAGGAAAAGAGAGAGAGAAAGAGAGAGGGAAAGTGAGAAAGCATGCCCTGATGGGGTGGGGGAGGGGAGAGATGGCCACACCACAATCCCTTCTCCTCCAGTCTCCTCTTGGGATTTTGGGCTTGCACACACACACACACACACCCAGCATGTTTTCTAAGCCACCATGTCCAGAACTCAAACCCCACTATTGGCCAGCTTCCTCAACCACCATGCCACTGGTTGACCCCTAGAATTCCTCATTGTTAAGAAAACCACGTTTCAAGAAGGTTAGAGAATCTGCATAATTACTCAGTAGGTTTCAGGATTAGCTTATCAGACTTTGAATCTCTTTCTCACAATGAAATGCATCCACCCACCCCAGATGTCAGCATCAGACTCACCTCCACCTTCACATATGGGCACTACTTGGCTATTGCACAATTTCATGACTGCCTATAGCTCACAGTCACTCCCTGCTACTACCTGTGTCCCTCATCCTTCTTCATCTCACCTAATAAAATGGTGTAAGGTTTTGTACCTTTTGTTTTTCAAGGAAATGGACTCCTGAGTTTAAATGGCCCCAAGTGGTTCCTGCACCGCCGCCTACTAACTCCCGGATTCCATTTTAACATCCTGAAAACGTATGTCCCTGTGATGGCCCAGTCAGTGAACACAATGCTGGTGAGTGAACGCGAGAGATGCACAGTGCACTGGTGCAATGCAGAAAGTGTCCAGCGGGCACTGTATTCGGCATATGTTCAGTGGACAATGAAAATCAAAAGTCAATGATTTCTAGTCAAATTAATCTAAGCATAAGTAGCCATTGAGTAACAGGTGTTTGCATAAGCTTTTGTTATATTCTTTGGGTGATTTTCTTTTAGGGATTTGTCCTCTGTCTTAGCTACATTTTGAGAACCGATAGCATTAACCAAGTACCAGGTGGTAAGATGCAGACAGTTGGTAACAGGTGAGGAAGCCCAATCCAGAGTCAGAAGAGACACACCTTCACCATGAGATATAAACTGGACTTGAATATGTAGATAATATGGATGAGAGAATTCTAGGTAGAGTGAGTTGGCATGAACAAAGTTTTGCAGTTTGGTGCAGACTTGCCCAGTGGCCATCAAGGACCATCCAAAGGTAAGTGCCTATCTTGAAGTCACAGATGCAGTTCCCTCTTGTAAGTGGTAGAGCTGACCTGCTTCTTCAAAGGGAGGCAGGAAGATCCACAGGAACATTTCTGTGGGCGATCGCTAATTTATGAGAGTTATATTCCAAAACTCTACTTGCACAACAGTTCCTAATTGTTACTTCTTTTTAAATCAGACAAGTAATTCACAAAGTCAAAGTTTCCCTCTGCCCTGGTCTGCAAACGCTTCCTTGTTTTCAGAAGAACCACTGATAGCAGCTCATTGGGTGGGTTCAGCTTTCTGCACAATTTCAAACTCACCTGTGGTTGTTTTTTAGTTTTCTCTTCCCTTCTGGGAGCCATTTCAGCCCTCCTTATTCCTCAGTCCTACATTTGCTGGATTCCACTCACACTCCTTCCACCTGATGAATTGTTCTAGAATGCCGCAAGCCTTAAAGCTTTATCCATGCTCTTATTTCTTCCGTAGTCACCATTTGTTCTCAGTAAAACTTAATTCAGATTTAAATTTGACTAAACAAATGGCATGTGGTAAAAAGTTTGGGCTTTTTTAAAGTTTATGTATCCTATGTATCCAAAGAGAGACCACAACCCTGACACAGACTTGATGCCCCAGTCCACCCCAGCCCCAGTCAGCCTGAATTACAGCCACACGCATGCCTAGCACACTCAGGGAGGTCTCTGGATGTGAATCAGGAACCCACCCAGGTGGGTTTGCCTCCAAGAACGTTGCATTGTAACTGCTGTGCCGCCATCCAGCTCTTGCAAGTTTTTAAAACTCTCTTTGTCACTTATTTGTGGTCTCCAAGGCTTTGGGTTTTGTTTGTTTTTAAGTTTTTGCCATAGGATGCATGTGCTTAGCTTAAGAGACAGATAGGAAAGGTGAGAAATTGCGGGGATATCCGCACTAAAATCTCTTCTCCATTCTCCTTTTGGGATTTTAGGTACGCACACACACAAGCCCAGTGTAATTTTCAAGCTGCCAGGTCCGGGACTTGAACCACAGCACCTTAACCTCCACACTACCTTAACCCACACGTCACTTGTTGGCCCCAATCTCCAAGTCTTTAGAACCTAGCTCCATGTCTGCAGGTGCTCAATAAATGTGGATTGAACTGAACTTAAACATTTCAACTTATTTGTATTTTTACACAAAGGATGTTTATTATGACAATACAGCTTAAACTGGATTTTTGTGGTTGTTTCTAAAAGTCAGGCAAAACCTTTCAGGCGATGTGAGTAGGTCTCCTTTTGTAAGAAAGTCAAATGGACACTGGCTACATTTGGCTAGGACTCAGTGGCCTGCAGCAGCTTCTCTTCACAGCTTATCCCTGTCCGCCAGTTCTGAATCTAAAATGTTTCTGAAGATGTCCCAAGTTTATTTTGAGTGTGGTTATGGTAGTTGACAGTAGTTGTGGGGTATCTAGCATGTTAGGGAATTGAAGATGGAGGAATCCCTAGGGAACCCTTTGTAATTATTATATCAGAGATTGTCTATATGGAACTCTGGTCTGTTATGGGGGAGTGGGGGTGTTGTTTTGGAGAGAGAGAGATTTTTTGCTATAGGGCATGTGCACTTGCCCAAGAGACAGACAGACAGAAAGTAAGAAATCACCCCCAGGAGTGATGGCTATGCCACAGTCCCTTCTCCTCCATTCTCCTCTCGAGATTTTGGGCACGCATGCACACGCCCAGCATGAGTTTTAAGCCACCAGGTCCAAGAATCGAACTGCAGTCGACTACATGGAAGTCCAGCGACATAACCAGCATGCCATCTGCTGGTCCCCAAAGAACTCTGATCTGTTTGAAAGCACACTTACGGCAATAACTGAAAGGCCACAGACCCTTACTGCACTTCGATACGCACTTTACTCCTTGCTCCTTCTCACTCTGCTGGGTGCATGCTCCCCTTCCTTGTGCCCAAATAAGCAAATGGCTCTATTTTAAAGTTTTTATTTATTTATTTCTCCCATGAGAGAGGGAGACAGAGCCAGAAAGAGGGGTCCCCAACAGGGTCTTTATGTCACAATCCAGCCTTTGGCCTCAGCCAGCTACAAGAGCAAAGGGAGAGCTCAGGATGCAAACCTGGGACCTTCCTGCATGGTGCCAGCATTGCTGAGCATTGTGCTACCCCTGCACCACCGCAGCTGCACAAACATACCCTTTGGTTCCTGCTAGGCCAGGGCTATCTTCTTTAGATCATAAGAGGAAAGTCAGGGAGGGGCCTGTAAATGACATTTAGTGATGATATTGATCTTGACTTCTTGTGCCAGGGCAAGTGGGAGGAGATCTGCACCACTCAAGACACCACCGTGGAGGTTTATGAACACATCAACCTGATGACCTTGGACACAATCATAAAATGTGCTTTCAGTCAGGAGACCAACTGCCAGATAAGTGGGTCAGTGACAGGACAGCACAAAAGATATTCATTCACCACTGTCTAAGTCACTTATTAACGTTGTCCCAACGTTCTCTTCTAGCACCCATGATCCATATGTAAAAGCAACGTTTCAACTCAGTAAAATGCTGTTTTACCGCTTGTACAATTTTTTGTACCACCATGACATAATTTTCAAACTAACCCCTTTGGGCTATCGCTTCCAGAAGTTAAGCCAAGTGCTACATCAATACACAGGTATTTTCTGGGCTTGGGTTGCCCTAGTCCATACGCTGTTGTGATTATATTGTGTGTAGAGGGTTAAACCTCAGTGTACAAAGAGAAATCATTAATAGAGATTTACTGGGCACTATTTTTTTTTTCCTTTGGAGAGGTTTTTGCTGTAGGGTGCGTGTGCTCGCCAGACAGACAGAGAGAAACAGAGAGACAGAAAGCGAGAAATCACCCCCCAAGGGGGATGACCACGCCACAATCCCTTCTCCTCCATTCTCCTCTCGGGATCTTGGGCACGCACGCACATGCGCCCGGCATGAGTTTTAAGCCACCAGGTCCAGGACGTGAACCGCGGTCGACTACATGGGAGTCCAGCGACATAGCCATTACGCCAACTGCTGGTCCCCGGGACACTGTTCAAATGAAATACCATGTCAGCCTTTTAGAAGAGTTTGCTACACCCATAACAGTAGTCCCAACAGAACTTTATTATTTAAACAATATGATTTTATCATGTATGATTATATTAATACAAAAATAACTTGACAAGTGAGCACTTAAGATTTCAAAACATAGATAGCATATCGTTTTTCACACAGTGATTGCAATAATAATGACCAGTGGAAATCATTTGTGCAACATAGGAAACACAGTAAACATGGACTTGCATTCAAAAGAAGCTCAATTCGAAATAATGTTAGTAAAACATAAACATACACGTTATCATAGGTAAGCTTTTTTTAGACTTATTTATTTACTCTTATTCATTATTATTATTTTTTAATTCACCAGAGAGAGAGAGAGAAAGAAGGAAAGTGAAAAAGCAAGCCACCAGGCCATGTCCAGGATTCAAACCTCAGCCAATCATGTGCGAGTCCAGCACCTTAACCACCATGCCACCTGCTGGCCCATAAATTAAGCTTTTCAAGCAACTCAACATTACTCTTCATGAACACTGTAAGAGGAAATACTTATCAAGCAGTTAGTTAATCTTGTATCAATCAGTTCCACCAGGTTCTTCTTTATCCCTGTTTTACAGAGGACATTGAGACAAAGCAGTGAGTAACTTGTCCGAAGTCCTATCAGTGTCCACTGTAAAATAGGGATAAAAAAGAACCTGTCTCTCAGGTTTGTGATGATGATGTTAATATCTGTAAAGCAGGCCAGCCAAGTGGTGTGGTGGTTACAGCAATGGATCCCACATTGCTGACTGTGTGGTTTGAGTCTTGGATTTGATGGGCATGTGTGCCTGTGTGCTCCAAATCCCCAGAGCAGAAGGGAAGAGAAGGGATTGCAACACCCCCCACACCCGCCTCTCTCTCTATGTCTCTCTCTCTTTGTTTCACTCTGATGAGCACATGCCCTGTAGCAAAACTAAAAAAATATAGAGATATGTGAAGTACTTAGGACAGTGCCTGGCACTGAATAAATGTTCAGTATAAAGAATAATTACTCTACCAAATAACAGCCCACAAGAAATTTTCAAGACACACCAACACATGCACATCACACATATATACATATACACATAGATATCATAAGGAGGATGCTCAGAGAAGCAGACACACGTGGACATTGTAATAGTAGTCCTCAAAGCTTTCTGCATCATGGCCCACCCATAAAAATATTAATATGTGTATGAGTCATTAAAATAAGTAATGAATTAAGACTCTGGATTCCACATAACTGGCCCCATGGTTCAAGTCCTGAACCTGGTGGCTTGAAAATTACATTGGGTATGTGTGTGCCCAGAATCCCACGAAGAGAATGAAATCTTGACAGAAGAATGGAGAAAGGGTTGTGGTGTCGCCATCCCTGCTAGGGGGGTGGCTTCTCCCTTTCCCTCTCTCTCTGGTGAACATATGTACCCTCTAGCAAAAAAAAAGAAAGAAAGAAAGAAAGTAAAACAGGAGTGAATTTGGAAGCAGCTACATAAATCTTAGTGAAAAACATTCTTTACATTGTTTAATGTTATGTAATTAAAGTGAAAAAATGCAAAGTGTTAGGGAAAACATTAAATGTTAAATTTGTTTTAAAATTTCACAAATGAAACCTTTTCAAAACTTTTGAATGTTTATTTAGTCAGAGTCATCCATTTTTTTTTATTGCACCTGGATTGTTAGTGATCATTAAAAGTCTTTCTCTACTCCAGGGTTTCTCAGCCTTTGGCACCAATGACCTTTAGGACTGGATAAGTCTTTCTTATGAGGAGTTGTCTTGTGCAATGTAGGGCATATAGCTGCATTCCTCACATCCACCCACTCAATGCCAATAGAACTCTGACAGTTGTAGCAACCGAAAATGTCTCCAGACCTTGCTGAATGGCGGCCCCTGGGGTCCAAATTGCCCCCCAGGTGAGAACCACTGCCTTATACCCAGGTTGTAAAGAAATTCATTCACGTTTTCTCCTAGTTACTTGCATAGTTTCATTTTTTTTTGCATTTGGATTTCTGATCCATTTACAGTTTATTCCAGCATATGATGTGAGTTATTGATCTATTTTTTTCCCAAATGATTGTCCAGTTGTTCCGTCACCATTTATTACAAAGTTCATCTTTGGGGACCAGCAGTTAGTGTAATGGCTATGTCGCCGGACTCCCACATAGTTGACCACGGTTCGAGTTCTGGACCCAGAGGCTTAAACTCACACCAGGCGCGTGTGCGTGCATGCCCAAGATCCCGAGAGGAGAATGGAGGAGAAGGGATTGTGGCATGTCCATCCTCCCGGAGGCGGGTGGTTTCTCGCTTTCTGTCTCTCTGTGTCTCTGTCTGGCAAGCGCACGCGCCCTATAGCAAAAACCTCTTAAAAAAAAAAAAAAGATTTCATATGTAGAGAAAGGCGGGGCATGGGGGATGCTGCAATCCCTTCTGTGTAGCTTTTCTTTTTTGTCCACTTGCCCTGTCCTGGATTCCTCTCCTAGTGTGATTCTGCCTGTTCTGTAGTTTCTGCTCTAACTGGGTGTTACCATGTTATTTGGTGTATGCCATGCCAAGAGTTGTTGAGCTTGTGTCTAAATTTGAAATAATCTTAATTAAATTACCTGCTTACTGATATAAATGAGGCTTTTTTT